AAACAAGACTTTAACGAGCGTTTTGGGACAGATGTAACAGTAAGAAAGCACAAAACAAACAGAGGGACAAAAACAGACATGTACAAGCTTTCATAGCTTGTACATGTCTGTTTTTGTCCCTCTGTTTGTTTTGTGCTTTCTTACTGTTACAAATTAAAACAAAGGCCTAAATTTGCCGGGCCATGTCGGACAATTTAAGAATTTATAAAATGCCTGTTTTTTTTTCTTTCGAGAAGAAGTCGCAATGTGACAAACTTCTTTGCCACGTATTCGATGCGGGTTCGTCGGCAGCTGTCGAGTCACACTTGGATAGAAGCGTCGGTATGGGCAAGCTCAATGTATAGCTAGAACAAGTGTGCGGCGCTTTGCAACCCAACTGTGCGTGTGCGTGCACAGCGAAAGCACGCCATTTACTCCGGTGAATGCAAAACCTTTTTTTCTACAGCAGCCTCCGAAGAAACAAGAATCAGAGAGGCTGTGAATAGTCCTGACGCACGCCGTACAAGCTGTAGTGTGAAGCTCCAGGCTTGTTTTCGAGCATTTGAAAGTTTTTCTAATACAAAAAAAAAACTACTTCGAGGCGTTGTTATTCATTAGAAAGAACAGTCACGAAAACGTCATACACGTTTCATGAATAAATAAACCCCTTTTAATCGGCATAGATGCGAACTAACATAGCCACTCCGTGCTTTCGCATATAGCGCGTCGTCTGCTCCCATCCTACTAGCTACGTCACACGAGGGCCCCCGCGAGGTGGCGCAACCAAAACATGTCGTTTCGCAAGGGTTCCGCCATCTTGAAATGTCGCCACTATATACCAGTATGCGCGAAAGCATTGTTTTGCCGTCGCCACGCTAATAGAAAGCACATAGGATATAATCGTATACCCGTCACTCAATATCATTTTGCCTACACCTTATTTCTTTTTTTACTATTCCCAGGTAGAAACGTTTAATTAATTTCTCGTCGCCCATACCGGATAGGCCTATTAGGTGGCAGTGGCCGAGAGTACACCGCTTAAAAAAGGGTAGTGAAAAAAACCAAAAAAACCAAGAGGTTCGACTTTTTGTGGAACATCACTAATTTTCCCCCTCCACGTGTTGCATCATGATATGAGGACCTCGGATTAGCTTTATGCTATTTTATCGAGACTCGTGTGCTACACATTTCCAACGTCAAAAGCATTGTTTCTTCCTTCGACAAGCACTGAATCCTTGTAACAACTACTTGGCGCTACGCACGAAAAATGCGGAAAAACTTCCTTTTTTTTTTCCCCCTTGATGTGACAAGTATTATACAGCAGCGACCACGAATTTGTAGCGCGTCCGCCAAATCCAAAGGCTCCTCTGAGCAGCAGCTGGCTCCTCCGACGCAGCCAGACGCCAAGAGCCAACGCGCGAGCCACATCTGCGATACAGAAGCGATGTCCGCGCCATGGCACGCGGGGCGATGAGTGACCGAGTGACGCCGACAAAGGGAAAGCAACCTCGTTCTCGCCTCTCGTCCACATCGAATCTTTCTCGAAAACAAAACAAAAAAAATAAGAATAATCACTGATACAGTTTGTTTTTTTGTTTTTTTTCTGCGCGCGATTAATAACGGGAAGGCCTTGTCGTTCTCGGTAAAGTAGGCGTATATAGGTTGGAGTCGGCGCGGGACCGAAGTGTCGCCAGGTGCTCGGGTGGATGTTGCAAAGATCAGGGCCACTCGATCCCCGAGTCCTAATCGAGGTGCAATGGTCAACGACAGGCTGAGAAAGGCAGGGCGTTTCTTTGGAACGCCCGCGGCCTCCAGCCCTTCCAGACGCTGCCGATGCTACGAGCCGGAGGGATCAATCAGACAGCGCCCAAATCGCACCACCATGCTGTTCGTCATGTATGTCTACGCGTGTCCTATCATCGCTGAACCAAACAGGAAAGGCCCGCTGACTTGCGAAACGTGAAGGCGTTGCTAGATTTCGTTGGCTGGCACTCTTGAACACTTGTCAAATGAGGATTCAGTACCTCATATGGTGTTTTCTTTTGCTCGTTTCCTAGCTATCATTGCAAACACTGTCAAAAACAAATTCGAATACACGGAATAATAAAAAGAAATCTACGCAGCGTTTTAAAGCGAGGTTAAAAAAGGAAAAAGTTTATAAATGTCTTTTTTCAATGTCCTTCTCTTCAAAGTCAAATTTTCTTCACTTTGTGTGCGGACGAACGTAGCAAAACTGAGTGCGAGGTCCTCATATCCGTGCCAGCTTCGTTCATAAACAGATAAGAGCGTACGTACATAAAAAAGAAGAAAAAAAAAAGAATGTCAGAAAAAAAAAAAAGGAAAGACGAGACAATAAATCGATATCTACAGAGAGTTCCCTACCGAACTTCAAGCACGCGAATGATAAAAGTTGACCAGTCTAACCACTTATGCCCTTTTAGATATTTCCTTTTCTCCGGCTCCACAAACCAAGGCAGATGACAAGACATCGACGCAGTTACCGTAGGAGTTCCTTTAATGGCTTTAATGTAATCGCCAAAGTTTAGCGTCGGCAGGTTCCTTAAACGTTAACGAAACTATCAGATCCCACAGTTAATTTATTCAAACTCCATTAAGTACATACAAAGAACACCCCCCCCCCCCCCCCCCCCCACACACACACACACACAAGGATATTGATCAGAGTATTAGTTTTTCGGTCGTGGTTACCGTGAAATTGACGTGGGGTTTGCTCTTTTGATTGCAAAAAAGAAAGAATGCCTAGATTCCCGCGAAGTCCCTGTTGAGTTTTGAAATTAAATGAGGTTCCAATGGAAGAAGTGTAGCGGGAAAACTTGCCCGCTAGATTTAGCGGGAAAAGGACGTGTGCTCAGACCGTGACTAAGATCTGTCACTGATAATAAATCTCTATTCTTAATTAAAAAGACAAATTCGTTAACAAAAAACAAATTTAAGATCTTTTAACGTTAGCTGCAAATTGTTTTACTGTGGAGAAGGATTCCATGATTTTATACTAATTATTAAAAATACAACAAAATGTATGATGAACATGAAGGTAAACGTGAGATAGGTAAAGGAAACTCCAAAGGAAGCCAGAAAAGGTACAGGCAACGTTTCAAACTCAGCTACCAAGTTTCTTTCGTAGACGCCGTCACTGCGATCACCAAAAGCAGCGAAACACAACACACACACATACGCACAATGACACAGACAGAAAAAAAAAAAACTATATTCCTAACGAGCGTGTTGGTAAGATGTACTAGATAACAGAAAGCGTTTCGTCCTCTCTGTTTTATACTTTCTGTTATCTAGAACAAAAAACTGTGTGCGTGTGCGTGTCTGTGTTTAGCCATCTTGTTTTATTGTGACCGCTTGTCGTGGAGTTTGGTTCCCGCTGATGCGTTAGTATGTGTGAATTACGACGAAGTGCGTCTATTAATTAGACACCTGAAAGTGGCGGCGCAACGGTAAGATATAGGCACTTTATTGGAGCCTGGTCGAAAAAATATTGCCATATTTAGGCAAATAAAACGCACAAAGGGAATCGAACGAAGATGGTACCGAAACGTCGTTGCTGGATTAGTCATCTACCAAGTTCTGGGAACAATATACGTAAATAAAACAACAGTGATCTTGCTCTGCAACAAAGTTCTTGAGATTGGAAACAGTTGAGAAATATTACGTGAATCAGATTTCTCAGGAAAAAAAAAGAACAATCTTTTGTTAATATTTTGTTTATTTTTGTACATTTTGAATATGTGATGCATTGCTCCCCTACCCCTACCCCTTTTATGGAGTGCCCTAACCGGGCCTTCAAGGGTGGAAATTAATGAAATAAGTAAAAACAACAAAAAAGTATGAAGATGATAATTATTATAGACTTGATAATCTACATTGAATTAATACGAAAGAAACACACAAGAGGACGAAACAGACGACACAGCTTTCGCATAATTATAATGCAATTAAATGCAAATGCAAAATTAAATGCTCTACTGACGTTTAACCCCTGGTTAGCTCAGTTGGTACAGCGCACCACCTGTAATGGAGAGGTGCCGGGTTCGATACCCGAACCAGGCGGATTTTTTCGGTAGCGCACCAGTCACCTAGCTGTGTTTGGAGATTTGTGTTTATTTATTTATTTATTTATTTATACAGTACCTACATCGCCCAGAGGGCATTACAGTAGGGGGGTTAAAATACATAAAAGATGGTTGCATCACACTTGTTAAACGCAAGTAAAACATAGTGCTTGAAAGCACCAATACACTTTGTCCCTCTTGTTCCCCTTCTCCAGGGATTATTTTCGTCGTTATGAAGATGAAACGGACTAAGCGATCCAGATCTCTCATAGGCTTTTATTTTCGCCTTTCCAAAGGTTCCAGCTTTTCTATTGTCTCAACTCTACGTGTCATTATACCAATCACCAGAAACCATCAAATAATACCGGTATCGTAGATAAACGAAAGGTATATATCGAAGTTACATCGTACCAGGCATGGACACTTTTCGCAAATAATCTACAAATTGTGTAATGATTTTTACAAAATAATCCTTACACAATTTGACGTGCAGCTACTATTTGCGCATATGAAGATATTTATGAATTTATTTACGATCGAGATATCGAATCACCAGTCGGTTCAAGTTGTATCTTCCTTGTCAAACAAAACAACGATGAGCGAAAAAAAAAAAAAAAGAAGAAAAATACAGCTTCATTGTTGCCGTCGTCAGTAATTATGAAAAGAAAAAGGTAGTACTCGTGCAAGAGATGTGCGCGGAAAGATCTCTCGGAGCAAGCGAAAGCTACCCCAGTTCACTCCGGAGCCGCTACCATGGCAACAACATCACAATTTCTATCGCAGGAGGAACCCCAGCCTGTCGATCTGCTAACAAAAAAAGGAAGGGGAAAAAAAAGGAAAAGAGAAAACGGGACATCGGGAACACAAAAAATATCGGCTGTTCTCACCGTAAAAGCCACGAATAAAATAAATAAAGAGGAATGACGCGCGGAGGCTCACCATATCGTGTGTAGGACGAGCAGGAATATTCCGGGCACGACGAAGTCGTCGGATCCGACCGACCAACGCCGCTTGAACACCACAACCCCCGGCATGTTGACGGAGAGCGGCGCTAGGCGACATCGCGTTGGTTCGGCGAGGCACGTTCAAATCCTTCGTCGTTCCACATCGTCGCTGCGTCGCCCACGTCCGATGCCACGGGTCTCAAGTGCATGTTTGTTTTATCGCGCCGCGACTCTGCCGTGCGATTCAGCGCAAAGCCATGCTGGCTTCGGAGCTCACGCGCGTAGTGGCATAGCTGCCCCGCTCGCAACCACTTTGCTTCGCCCCAGCTTGCTTGCGTGACAGCTCGTTCGGCGGGCTTGCGGAGGGAGTTGCGGTTGCGGAGCGATAGGTGGCGCCTCAAACGCCGAGTCCTTTTTGTCGCGAGAGGAGGGTGAGGCGAACGAAGCTGTGTTGTATCACGTGACTTTTGTCGCCATGTTTGTTCGGAGGGAGGTAGTCGTAGAGGGTTTGCGCCAGTTCGCGCTGCGTTTTTTGGTACGGAGTGTTGAGATCGAAAGTACAGTTTTGGGGAAATTTAGAGGTCATGCTACGTTTTCTTATGTGCTTCGCTCACGCTTAGTGGCAGCAGGTACGAGTATATTTGTTTTCTTTGGCAGTTCACCGCAAAATAATAGGTCTTCTGAACAGTTGACAATATTAAAGAATGAATCAGTTACCTTTCTTCAATTATTCAATGATTTAATCGGTGAACTACGTGGCGGCTGGTAATATTCCAAAAGTATTAAAATATTATAATTTTATCATTTTTCATTTGGGAAATACGACCGCTGGGAACGTCAGTTCGCCACCCTAAACTTTCGTGCAGTTTCCGCCGTACACATTTTACACGTGATACGTCTGTTGTGACTGGCGGTTTTGTCGACGCGTGACGAAATGACCGAGAATTCAGGTGGCTACTTTCTTTGAGGAGTGCATTCGAGAGTTTATGCCGACTTCACGATAATTGCCTTTATCTGTGCGGTGGATATTTGAACACGTAGCTACGGTTGCAACTAAATTCGGTGTATAATAATTTTTTTATCACTCTTTTATTTTGATGTCTACTTTATTGGGGGAAGAAAGAAAACAGCCCTCGTATACTTACTCGATTCTAGTCCACGATTTTCAGTTTCGCTGTCCGGTTCAGGTTAGAGCCTTTTAGTACGTTCGCAGCTATTGTGTCGTATTTTGCAGTAATATTAGAGAATGGCGTTTTCTGTATTCAGATAATAAGACAAAAACCCACGAAAGTAATAAAATTATATTGTTTTCTTCTTTTTATTGGGCACATTCTCGTAAAATCATTGTTGGCAGAGAGCACTCCTCGGACACTCGATGGACATATCCCTAGGCGAAAGAGTAAGTCATTCGGAGGTCATATGATTAATTACACCAAGCCTTGAGTTGAAAGGTATTTGAGAAGAAAAGCAGCCGACGAAGCGGCGTACGCTTGATTAGGGATCGTTAAAATAAAGGACAGTCTCAGACAGGAGTTTTGTCTAGTTCTCTCATCTTTCGTTTATGTTTTTGCGTTCCTCAATATGGGATTGTTTTCAAACTATCCTTAATATATTGGACGATCGAAACACACACACAGAGAGAGAGAGAAGCCGGTCGTGTTAAGAGTAGCCGACTTATTCGAACCAGGGATCCTGGGTTCAATCCCCACCCCTTGTCCATTTTCATCCGGGTGATCATCCTACCGTCATGCGATCGTGCGTCCCTAATGCATGGTGTACATTGGAGGCCCAAGGCTGGCAGCGGTCCTTCACGTGCTAAATTCCTCACCTACTGCGGGGACACCGGGTGCTCACTGGAGCTGACAAACAACCCGCCGTCTAAGCGTGCACAGACACAATACGATTCACTTATGGAAATGAAGCCATATCAGTGGCGGATCCAAGAAGGGGGGGGGGGGGGGGGGGGGTGCGACGGGGGCGGCGCCCCCCCCCCCCCCCCCCCCCCCCCCCCCCAAACGAAGTCGACCTCCCTCCCTCCCCCCTTCTCGGAGGGCAATTTGACAATTTGACATGGGTGGACCCCCCTTGCACAAGAGAGAATGGGTGATTAGTATCATTAAAAATTTTACGCCCCCCCCCCCCCCCCCCCCACACCCAAAACGGAGTTCTGGATCCACTCCTGAGCCATATCCGTCGCCGTGCGGTTCCAACTTCTCTCTCAGTCGTCTTCACAATAGTAATGCAGATAATGATGAGCCCAGGAAAAAAAAAAAAAAGTTACTTGGGCTGTTTAGTCGGAGAACAAGACATGGAAATAAAAGTGCGGCAGAATATATGACACCCGCAGCTCTTATTGGACCTTTTTCGTGCCACGAACGCCGTCTGGGGGGTTGTCTGCGAACTAAAAACGAAGGACCACGGCCTCCCCAAGGTTCTTGGAACTTCGGAGGCCATGAAAGGGCAACCGACCATGCCTCCGCCCGTCAGAACACGTTTGCATCGTGCCGTTGTGTCGGTTTGCATCGCTTTTTATGCCCAATATTACCCATTCTCAAGGAGGAGGAGGAATAAACGTTCGATAAATGGCGCTTCAGGCGCTGATGGTTGGGCGCCCGCCCGTAGGGGGGCTTCCTCCCTCTAGTCCGGAAAGCCCTGGTCCGCGCTGGCTGCCCGGGCCCTCTCCATCAGGCTACGCTGGGCTGAGAGCTCGGAACTGGCCAGCTGTCCCACCTACTGCTCGTAGGTTGCGTGGGGGTTGGAGGCAAAGGATGGGGCTTGCTGACACTCTCAGACCATGTGGTACAGGGTGCCAGGCTGGGATGGGCAAAATACGTGCAAATATGTGTCGAAATACAAATACAAAATACTTCGTCAAAAATGTATTTAAATACAAATCTAATTACATTTCCTAAAAAGCATTTAAGTACAAGATACATATACAACCAAATGTATTTGGTCTCCTCCAAATACTTTTCCAAATACATTCCTCAAAATTTGCGTCAGCGACTTCAGGGCACCTGCAACGGGTTTCTGGCTATCTCATTTTAATTTTGCATCGCACACTCGGGAGTTAGTGTGCGGGGCTCTAGTAACGTAATAGAAATATAATCACAAAAAAAAAATGTAATCAGGTTGGACGTAATAGGTGAAAAAAGTACAGATCTTCAAGCAGCTTTTTTTGTCGATTACCTTTCGGTATAGACCAACAAAGAACCGAGACGACCAAGAAGCGCAGCGCTAGCTAGAGAATTTTTTTATTGTTGCAACTCGCACCAGTTACGAAACTCTGGAACACCCGCGCATTTAAAATGTTCCAGGCAAAAATATGGAGGGAAATCAGACTGGAAAGCATCACAAGTTGTCACAGGCACTTATTTACCCAGTTTGGCTGTGAACGTCGATTTCGTCACTATTCTTGCCCTAAACTAGCACCGTAATCACAAAGTAACTAAACACTCCTGCTTGATTGAGAGACACTGCATTCAGTGCAGAACGTAGTTTTCTTCCTGCTCTGGACAGTGACAATAAATTTGAGGGATGTATTTTCGCCCACACAAATGTATTTAATTACAATTGTATTTCAAATAACCCCCTTTCAGTATGTAAATACACACGTCAAATACATTACCCAACTTGTAATTAAATACAAATGCAAAATACACAAAGTATTTAAAATACTACCCAGCCCTGGTGCCAGGCTAGGAGCAGCAGTTGCAGGTAGCAGGATAGAGGCGTGCAGTAGAAGGCGTGGTGCAGTAGAGTGCCGTGGGAATACGAGTTAGTTTCTAGCCGAAGAAAAGCGGTCGTTTCGGCTCTGGATAGGTGTGGGTGCGGTGGCGGGAACTGTCGCCGTTCGTGGCGGTAATGAGCAAGGAATGTCCGCGTATTTTTGAAGAGGAGTGGGTTTGAAAGTGCATGGAGTTTGCGTGTCGTTGCCCTCTTGAGAAACAGCCCGGTGTTTATGAGCGCGGACAGCTGAATTCTCATTCTCAAAATAAAAAAAAATAATAATAATAAAAAAAAAAAAATTGGCAACGTTTGCATCAGCAGCTTGTCCGTCTGACAGCTTCGTGTCATTGGTCGGCATATCTAATTAATTTTATTTACTCCCACGTTACAAATTGGGGTGGCGGAGGCAGGGAAAAAAATTCTGCGGAAGTGCAGCTTAACCAAACCCTTACTTAGCCCACCTCTCTTTAATCACAGATCGGGCCGACAGAAAGAATGGAAACTTATAATACAGAAACAAAAATTATTGATATATAGATATAACATACTTATCGGAAAGAGGAGAATATTCTGCGGGGGGATCGGTGGCCGAGTGGGCTGAAGCGCACACCCAGCTCGACGCGCGTGGAGCGAAAGCTCGCGCTGCAGAACCCAGGGATCCTGGGTTCGAGCCCCACCCCTGCCCGTTTCGATCTGGATGAGCATCGTACCGGCGTGCGGTCGTGTATCACTACTGCGTGGTGCACGCTAAAGACCCCAGGCTAGCGGTTGTACTGCACTGGCAAAATTGCTCATCTACAGTGTAAACCAGTGTCGCCCCTACTGGCAGACCAACCTTACGCTGTATAAATCCCTCAAACGTCCAATTTGACTTTGACTTTGAGAATATTCTGCGTATTGTTTTCTTACTTAACGTGGCAATAGATTTTTTTTTTCTTCAGAATTTAGTACCGCATGGAAGCGTGTGTAGAACCATCTGAAGAACGGTTCTCCAAAAACCAAAATTATTATTAATATTCATTCGAGGACGCGCCATTATCGAAGATCTGGCGCTGCACACTCCACATTATTAAAGACGCTGGTGCGCTATAATACTGATATAGAATCCAGTACGTAGCACGGGTGACATAAAATACCTTTTTAGAGCGCAGCTCCTAGGCGCCCGTTTCCGGCTTGAGCGGCGTCGGCGTCGGAGTCGGCGTAACTGCACGGTGCATGCAGCGCGCCGGCAACTCGCGGTTACGCCGCTTGCATGCAACGCGTTGCATGCAAGCTGTACATGCGCAATGGGTAGTTTCCCATAATGACGTCACGAGGGTTACTTTTAGGAGGGTTACGAGGGTTAGCCTCACGAGGGTCACGAGGGTTGCGAGGGTTAATTACCCTCAAAAGGGTTACCCTCATGAGGGTCACGAGGGTTATGAGAGTTACCCTCACTTAACCCCCCAAAAGGTCACGCGACCCCCTCTCCCCCCTCGCCTTGAGGTCACGTCACCTCACGGAGTCACCTATCCCTCAGTACCCTTCCATCCTTCTCATCAAGGGCTGCGCTCTAATCCGGCGTTACTGGGAGTTGTAAACGGCTTTCATTTTTTTTTCTAACGAAATAAATATTTCACATTGTTGTTGAATATTCGATAAAAAA